TATACCCAAAACTTGGTAATTTTAGTTTAAAAATTGCATTAATTATATTTTTTTTTCTTTCTTTCGGTGGGATGGGGTGATTGTACTTTGAAAATTAATATTTATCATTTATTTCACATTCTCCATAAATTCATATAACAAAAGAATCTCTTAAAATACAATTCCAAATGCACGTGGCTTATCAAATTACAAAACTTTCATAAAATTTACAACTAAACAAGTTCTTAAAGAAAAAATTTCCACTGATTTTCCCTTCACTTTTTTGTACCACTAATTAATGACCAATGTTATGCTGTCATTGCTTTGACCATTAAAAATTAGTATTTGATGTGTTGTGAGATACTACATTCTCATCTAAGACCATTTCCAACGGTGAATCAAATTCATCATCAGATTTGAATTTGGTGAAAAAATATCAATTTTATGGCTCCAACGATTTCACCAAATGGATATCAAATTGAGAATGTACCAAAAGTTTCATCAAAATGAGAAGCGGAGCAAATTTCACCAAAACACTGTGCATTTACGTTAGAAATGGGCTCACTGGACAACCGGCCGGACGTCCGGCCGGATGTCCCACCAATTGTCCCACAGGACGTCCTACCAGTCGTCCCTTGCATACAAAACTCTCATTCTGTCAATCTAACCCATTTCTTACACTGATACATATAAAGTGGGTTTCTTGTAAAATGGTAGCTTTGGCACACAGCTTTGGAGAAACCCATTTCTCTCTCTACAAATAGAGACTACTTCCACCTCTAGTTTAGAGGCAACAACCATCCCTGTTTGCTTGCTAAGTTTAGTTGAAAGTGGTGGTTCTGCTTTTAAAGAAGGATTAAGCTAGAGAGAAACGTGAAAAAGTTGGGGCTTTTTTTGGAGGAATGTGGTTGAAAAAAGATGTGGGGTTTGCGCCAAAATGAAGGTTTTGTGGGTTTTGATCACTGGGGTTTTAAAGAAAGAGAGTGAAAAATGATGCTTTTAAAGAAGGATTAAGCCAACCCATTTCTTACACTGATACATATAAAGTGAGTCTCTAGTAATGGTAGCTCTTGGAAACAGTTTTTAGAGAAACCCATTTCATCATTTCATCTCCTGGGAAATAATGATGGTCACGGAGGGAGAGAGAGAGAGACGAGTAAAACTGGGTATCTGCTAAAGAGCGATCTACAACGTGATGGTTGCAGTGGCCTGTAGAAAGAAGAGGGAAGAAAGAAATAGGAAACAAAATTGGAAATAGAAATGGAGGGAAAAAAAAATCAGTGGCGTAACCGGTCGACCGGCCAGACGTCCCCAGGCATTTGATGCAAGCTGTTGGAGCAACTCGTATCAAATTGAAGAAAGGGCCTTTTTTTTTGTGTGTTAAATTTGATGAAAAAAATAGTTCAACGTTAGAGATGCTCTAATATCTAAGAGTTATGGTGCACAACATCAAATAGTAAAATATAAATGATAAAGTAAATGGTAAACTTAGATATGAGAGTACCATATCATATAATAAATAAATGAGTTAATTATGCTAAAACTAACTATGAACAAGTGTTAATTTATCCTCTCATTTATGAAATTAATACATACTGATTTTATTTTAACTATAAAAATTTTGGGTAAATTACAAATACACCTCTGAGGTTTGTTTAAAATATAAATTGTCTCCTGTGGTTTGAAAAATTACAAATATCTCACTGTTGGAATTTTTTATTGAACAGAATTAATTGAAAAAATGAAATTTCTAACTATTCAACTATATAATAATAAAATTATCTGAATTATTAATTGAAATGAAATTTTAACATTATTAAAAATTGTTAATTAACTTGATGATTTGTTAATAAAAGGACCTATTTGTTATGAAATTAGAAACTTGAGAGGGCATAATGTAATTTTTAGAACCACATGGGATAATTTGTAATTTAAGTAAACTTCAGGAGATATGTTTGTAATTTACCCAAAAATTTTATTACTTTCATTTTTACCAGACCACCTTCAAAATGGGGCATTTGTTGATTTTTATAGTTAACGGCATTATTATTATTTTCAGTTCTGATTGGTAGCTCAAAAATAATATGGCTCGAATGGCTCGAGTCCAAAACGACGTTGTTTTGGATTGTTTTTTTTTTTTCTTTCTTTCTTGTTTTTTTCAAAGATGAAGAAGAAGAAGAAGAGACAAGAAAGAGAGAAGAGGGAGGTGGGAACACAAAGAGAGAGATACACATCATCATCAACAACAACATCTTCAACAACACATCAACAACATCTTCATCACCACCACCATCATCATCATCATCATAATCATCATCAACAATTTTTTTTTTTCCCCTTCATCTTCAAATCCAGATCCACTAGAGAAAAAAAAAAAGAAGAAAAAAAAAGTAGAGAAAATAGAGTCTGAAAGAGGCTATCATCAACAACAACACATCATCATCAACAACCAACAATCACCACAAAAAAAAAAAAACAAAACAAAACAAAACAAAACAAAAAAGTTTGTAAAAAAGAATTGTAGAATCTAAAAGAGATGAGAGACCCGCAGGCCGCCACCGGCAGAGAGAGAGAGATGCCGCCATCACCGTCGATCTTCCTTCTCTTCCTCCTCCGCCATCACCGTCTTCTTCTCCTCCATCACCGTGTTCTTCTCTTCCTCCTCCTTCTCTCCATCTTTTCTCCTCCTCTTCTCTTCTCTCTTTTCTCTCTTACCTCTTCTCTTCCCCCTGTCTGTATTTGAAAGCAACAAAAAGAAAGAAGAAAAAAATAGAGAAGAATACCCAAAACGACCACTACTACAAAAACAGATAAATATCACACTTTTTTTGTGTGATGTATATTTTTTAATCACTTTTTAAGTTTTATTAAAATGTGATCTTTGAAAGTGTGATTAAAAAATATCATTTTTAATCACACTTTTTAAATGTCATTAAAAAATGATTCATCACATCTTTTAAGTATGATTAATAATATTTAGATCACATCTTTTAAGTGTGATTAAAAACATTTAGACCACAATTTTTAAGTGTGATTAATAATATTTAGATGACATCTTTTAAGTGTGATTAAAAACATTTAGACCACATCTTTTAAGTGTGATTAAAAATATTTAGATCACATCTTTTAAGTGTGATTAATAACATTTAAATCACATCTTCTAAGTGTGATAAATAACTAATAAAACTTGTGATAAAAAAAAATTCGACATATTTGAAGAATAATCAATATTATTTTTGTACGCATTTAAAGAATTTAATACACAATATATACTATATTTTAAATCACAACCATATATTGAATAAAATAACGTCACATATTTCATAAATGAAAGTTAAATGTTCAAAAAATATATACAAATGAATTAATAAAAAGTTTTTAACAGTAATTACATATATTAAAAAATGAAAAAAAACTTAAAAAAAACTAAATTCTTGAATTCTTTAACCATATTTTGCATCTCTCCAGGAAATTTCTAACCTGAAAAATAAAAACATAAATTAATTCAAAAACCGCTAAAATCAAAAAATATATTATGAAAATGGAATAAATCTAAAGAATCGTATAACATAGCTCAAGGAAAGAGTCAGAAAAAAATATATATATAACCACTTCATTTTTAAGAATTAATCATTGCTAATGCCACTAGGTCCCAACATAATGAAGAGTACGTCTAGAATTTCAAAGAGCAACTGCTCAATCACTTCGATAATACAAGTCAAACAATTGAAAATGCAACTTAATATGTTTATTAAATTCTATCATGATTAAAATGTATATGTTATAATTACAATGGCAATTCATGATCAAATATTTGCAATATAAAACATATGCATGAAATGACACTCACTTTTCATATAGACCCTTAATTTGTCCTTCCAGATCTTCATTGAGAACTATTAGATACCCCTTCAAACGCTTGTTCAAAATGTTCCTCACTGCAACAAATAGAAGCAATGAAAATAAGTTTTTAAACCAAGAGATGGGAAGTGACAAAACATTTTCAAGAGCTGTAAATTTTGAACACTACCTATCAGAATTTTCCTTCTGGATTTTATCATTTCAAATTGATGTGATGTTTTCCTTCTTTTCCCCATTACTTTGCTTGATTCTATTTGATTCTATTCAGCATTTTACTGGTTGATGAAGTTAAGCAAAGCAAAGGGGCCATTATTCTGTTCATTGATGAGTTGCACACTCTGGGATCAGAATGTAACAGGGAATTTCTGCTTAATCTCCCATTTATCAATCAAAGTTCTTACCAAAAAAAAACTTTAAGAAGCAACAAAATACAAAAATGAAAATTAAATTCACATAAAAGAGAAAGATTCAGTAAAAGTTATGAAGATAAACCTCATCTTGACAATTATCAATAATCTTTTTGATCTTGAAGACCTCCCAAAAAATCTAACTCTCTTCTTCAATATCATCAGTCAATGCCTCAGCTTCTCTATAGCAGTAATTGCTCACTTGATTGATATTGAATCTTATCATAGGCTTCTCCATAGCTGTAACAGGTTCGAAAATAACCCAGAAATCAGATTTTTTTTTAGGAGGAATCTATGTGCTAATTCCAGGAATACTATGGCAAAGAAATAGTGAAATACAGGGAAGGAAAATAAACTCCCAGGATTCCAGCATTCTTTCTAACGCTTCAAGAATTAATTACCACAACAATTGAGTAATTGATGCTGATCCAAAAGGTTTTGCATATAGATAAACCTAAATGCCGACAAGCATATGCCAGATAAGGAAAACTTAAGACATATAGGCCCCGTTTGTTTTCAGAGGTAGAATGGAAGAGATTCATAGTGAGGGGCTTGTCAATAAGGGGATTGATAGTGAGGGGATTAAGTAAAATTGTGTTTGTTTTGATAATAGTTAGCGTAGGAATTGTTAAATTATTTTTATATAAAATAATAAAACAAATAAAAAAATATAAAAAATTAAAGATTAATGTTTATAAAAAAAATTCCTAATATATAAAAAATAAAAAAAATAAAAAAATTTCTAATCCCCTCACTATTTTTCTAATACCATCTCCACCTCCTCCATCTCAATCCCCTCCCCAACCTCCATCTATATCACCTCTACCATCCTAATCCCCTCCCCAACTCTACAAACAAACACAACACTAAATAACAACTCCACCATCCTAATCCCTTTCCATCTACATAACCCAAAACAAACAGGCCCATATAGACAAAATGCACAATTCAACATCCCAAAAACACGAGCGAACAAATTCAACATCCGGACCTAAAAGCAGATTAGGGTATAAGTAAATAATTCCTCCATTGTTTTTAAATTTTTTACGTCTACCTTCCGTTTGAGAACAACTAGGCTCTTGGTGTGCATCGGAGACTGTGGGATGACCCCATTTGTAGGAGGAAGTCCAATCAGTCCACTAGGCTCTTGGTGTGCATCGGAGACTGCGGGATGACCCCATTTGAAAGAGGAAGTCCAATCAGTCCACAAAGCAAAGTCTGATAACACATAAATTAGAAGAGAACATAAGCTCTAGGTAAAGCAAAGCAGATAAGAACAACTGCTAGGAATAGGAGAAGTCCAATTGTATATACCATGAATCCCAACAAGACGATGTCATAATGGTAAGCAGAAGGATTTTTGAGATTGAACTTTTGTTGCGCCTTCTGTGAAGCAACACTGTGGTCAAAGAAGTAAAGCCCTGCTATCATTACAGCTGGAATAAAGGCAGCAAAGATGTAAGCGAGAGGAACTTTGGCCATATCCTACATGACAAAATTTTCAGAGCAATGTAATTATATAAATCATTTTGTGTTTTATGATTTGTAGCAGGTTCAGAGTATCTAAATATATCCACATACCATAACAATATCTTGGGGATCCACCTACCAAGAAAACGAATATTCAAATGTCATTTAACCAAGTTAAGAGATAATTCTAGTTTTTAAAAAGAAATAAAAATTCCAAAACCATTGAAAAATGAATTTATAATGAACCATAACACACGACTAAAATTATGGGCATAATGCTTGAAGATGATGTTCCTCATATAATCATTTAAACTAAAAATTCCAGTAACCTGATCAACCAATCACTTTGAAGGCAATTAGTTGTAAACAAGTAAAGCTACCTGAAGATCATTGCAAAGGAGTGTGATCCCATCAGCTAAAATCATGTCAACATATGGATTGCGCAAACCCACAATAATTTCAAAACAACAATACAAAGCAATCACACTCCTCTGAAAATAAAAATAAAGATCGACCATACAAACAACCTTCGAGTTGTAGAAACATTATGTTAATAAATTTGATGGGACAAGTCACAAGAGAATCAAGAAGCGACAGCCTTCATTCAGCTTCCAGCAATTACCGTGAGCTAAAGAGAGAAAATCATTTTTAGATAATACTTGCCATACCATCACACTCAAGTTGAGAAATGAGAAGCAAAACTCTCTAATATTTTTACAGTGTAAAATATCAAACCTAAGACTTTGACTTCGAAGACCAACAACTCTCTCAAACTCTTATTTACATTCTAAAAGTTAACTCTTAATCAAGATGCATATTCACCTGCATATCCTGAGGATCAAGATTAGATATGTACTCTTGTATACCATAATCTCCCTTGAGTTTTCATCATTTCATGAACATCAAAAAAAATTGATGAATCTTGGAAAATTTGATTCAATGCAAACGCATTGTGCTTAGTTGTTGTTACTAGTGAAAAAGAAAGATATCTAAAGAGTTGTGGGTGTTGTTATTGTTCCTACAAATCTACAAGGGAAACTTTCTCTTCTAGAGCCTTTTACTAACTTAATTTATCTTGTCAAAAGTTTAAAAGAAAAAGAAATGACAAATTTTTGGATACTCGTGAAAATTAATAACATTACCAAAAGCAAATTATACTAAAATTCTTAGGAAAAAGTTCTGCAGATTGTAGCAACACTTATGCCCACTAAATGGAAGAAGAAATGGGAAGTATTAGTGTACGCACCGTCACTGAGGACCAGAACTAGATCACTGTCAATAACAGTTGGGATACGATGAGCAATAGTGCACATAGTGCAGTCCCTAAACTCTGTTCGGATGATCTTCTGGATTAGATTATCTGTAGCTGAATCAACTGAAGCAGTGGCTTCATCAAGAACCAAAATTCTTGCCTGTTTTAGTAAAGCCCGGCCCAGGGAAGCAAGTTGTTGCTACCCACACTCCAATTATCTCCATTCTCTAGAACTATGAATTTCAGACAAATACAATTTATCAACTGGTCTTAGACAAATGCCAAAAGGAAAGCTTCTAGATGTAATATTAATAATAGAGCTTAAATTTAATGCTCAAATATTTAGTGCAAATACCTGGTGTATCTAGCTTTTTCTCTTTCCGGCAAACAAAATCCCCTAGCTGAGACTTCTCAAGTGCCTGTTCCAAATCAAAATAGAATCACTAAGAAGGTCAGTCTTTCTGGTAATCATAACATGCCCATACATTAAACTCGCAAAAAAGTTTGGGAATAAACACTGGAAAGCCAAACTTTAACAACAAATTTTTGGCAAGAATTTATATAAGGAACTAAGGAATTCATATTACAAAAAATGGGATCACTTGGGATTTCAGAACAATTTAAAATAGTTGTGGCTATCCATAATATCTGGGATATTTCTTCTAACAGTTTATTTTATGGACTTCACTTGGTCGAACTGTTATAGTTTAAGATTTTCTTTTTCAAAACTTAGAAAAATGAAGACAAAAAAGGTAAGCAGTTGAGTTTGACCAGCCAAATTTCTTGATCTGAGTGCTCGTGGAGGGGATCAAGGTTGCCCCTAATGGTCCCTTCAAATAAATTTGGATCTTGGGGTATAATACTTAGATGGCTACGGGGGTCATGATGACCAATTGTTGAAATATCAATATTGTCTATAATAATTCTGCCGTCTACAGGCTCAATCAATCTGAACAAAGCCTGGATCAATATTATTTAAGAGTTGGACGTTATTAAATTTCTTATATTTGTTACAAAAGAAATAAATCTAGTAACCAGAATCCAAACTATTTTTCTAGGACAGGTGAGCTTCTAGAGAGAGAACTCAAGAGAGACTTTTTAAACTCCAGACACGAGTGTTGACATGAAGCCGTGTACCAAAAAACCCTCCCATGGGAACCTTAAAAAGAAAAACTTGTGACCACAGCTCCAATGCACAATATGGCTTGATATTTGTGAGACTTCCCAAGCTTTTCTGCAACGACACCAATTTCAAAACTACCAGGAACCCACACTACCTGATACATACATACAATAATTGAACCTATTATTAATGAGTGTTCAAGCAAAACAATGACCACAGACCATGTAAAACAATTGGAATGATGAAAGCATTACATGATCTGTGCTACATTTATCCACATCAGCACCAACAATTCCACCCCAATAAATAATAAACAACTCATGTTTTAACATGATAGTGGTCTGAAAATATTCTAAATCATGTCAGACCAGGTTTGTTTTACCACAGCAAATGTTCACTTTTTCCGCATGACATTCAATTTAGCAATTATTAAGGTGAATCCCTGACTAATCAAAGTACTTTTGGTTATAACCTATCCAAAAGGTGGTGATTCTTTGCCATCAGATGCACAGGCAGATCTGACAAGCCCCAGGACAGGAAATTCAGCACATCGAGGAAAAATAGTCATGTATGACAAATATGGAGCTAGTCAGGCATCAAAATCACCCTATCAATCAGGCACTCCAAATGAGACAACATTTTCACTTATAATATAGAAAATCAAGTCATGGATCAGAAATCCAGTGATATTATACCCTTCACACATTCAAGATATGCAGGTTAGGCATCTGTTACCTATTCCAGTAGAGATGGAAATCTAGGTGAACAAATCTACCAACAAAGGAACACAATAAGAGGGAAAAAAAAGTAGCCAACTTTTGAAAGGGTTCCAGATAACTACATACATCAATGTCTTCTTCAACTGAATATCTCTTGAACGTGTCCAAAGCTCCCTCCAAAAGCAGCTTCGTCACAATCTCATTAAACCGTGCCACAACCTTTGCAACGGAAACAAATTATTAGAAACATCAAAGGGATACACATCAAAATAGAATATAAATTGAACTACTGCAAATATTTAATTGAACCAACATTACCTAGATTACTTAATCATCAACTCAAGTTGCAATTTACCTCTTGTTTTTTTCTTGTTTTTTTTTTTTTGGAGCAAAAAGTAAATAAATAAAAACTACATAATTTCAAAAGAGTCATTTTTTAAAAAAGTCATTCGTAGGGGAGAGAGAGGTGTCGTGAATGAAGAGGTTGTAAAATTTTGTTAAGGCATAACCACTAATTGCAATGAAATGAGAGCATTAATATGAAGAGACAAAGTAGAACACATTGTTACATGGCCAGAAATTGGAATATATTTGAATGTTCAGGGAAAATGTGGAAATGCGACCAACATAGAATTGAAAAACATGAATGCACAGCTAGAAATAGAATTTCATAGTACATTATGCATAAAATATATGCATATAAGCACAAAGTGAAGCATTCATTGATGAAATTGAATAAATCCCATGTGCTCATTCAAACAAATGCTAAATAACAAGAGAGGGGTGGACATAAAAAATAAATAGACTGACCACAGCAAAGCGAAGGCCCTCAGTTGCAGTAAGAGATCCCGTCAAATGTCGAACAGCTGTTGTGCATGCGAACGACAAAGATCAGGTCCGAGAAAGATCATCTTCACTGCTCACACCCACTCCAACATTAGGCCAAAAGCCTAAAAATAAATAAATTAGATAGACATGATTAACACACAAATAGTTTTCATATTAAATTTAAAAAGAAAAATAAACCTAAAATTAAAACTATTCACCTGGGATGGCCAATGAAGAAGATGTCATAGGTGTTAATTTACGATGAGGAAATAAACGACTACGAAGAGGAGAGTTGTGATGATGTCTAGGTGGTGTGAGCAATGAGCATGAGCTCTTCTCATGATTGAAGGAACGATAATAATCGTACTCTTTGTTGGCGGCAGTAGCAGTGGTAGTGTTTGTGGCACCAAATGTTGCAACAACAGCCATTGTAACTCTTAAGTTCAAAGTTCAAACGACAACCCCTATGAGCAGGGACAAAGAGGGTTACAAATATTATGTACAAAAATTTAGACAAATAATGTCGACTATAGTTACATTTTTTTAACCATAATTTGCAATGCATTAACGTATATTAGACAAAAATATTCAATATAAACTAATATAGTAGAGGACCAAACAAAAGGTAGTTTTTCTTTTTTTTTCTAATTACAAATCCATGTAGTCATCTATTGAAGAAAAGAGTCATACCTAAGGGTGAGGGGCTACTGAGAATGAATATAGAAGATTCTTTCACAATTTCAAAAAGAAAAGAAATTGAGAATCCAATGGTTTCTATAAAATTTTGGTGCTTTTCATTCGGATATCAATTTCTATCAATTTTTGAACAAAAACCAAGTCTTCATGTATATACTTCCGAACAAAAATCAATTGTTATTATGGGCAACCAAGGCTGGTGGAGTTGACATGGTTGATAATGTCTTTATCTATCTAATAAGAAAAAATGTTAAAATTAGAAGTCATATTGGGCTTTGTCTCAATTGTTATTCTTTTAAAATTTTTAAAAATAATTACTTTAAAATTTAGATGAGTGTATATGACACAGCAAACATAATTTTCTCTGTGTGATATGTATCTGAATTGCCAAATGACTATATTTATCCATGTTTGTTGTGTAAGCTATAGATGACTTCTAGCAGAACCCTGAATTTTTTTGCCAATTTTGAGACTAAGACCAGAGAAGGTGCAATAACTACAAAACACAAATATAGCACCCATCCAAAGAAAATATACACCAAAAGGGATCCAAAGATCCGGACTGCACTAAGAGGTAGTGCACCATGCCTAGACAATTCAAAAGAGGGTCCCTCAAAATCTTTTGCATTCGAACATGTAGAAGAACCAGCAGGGATGCCCAAACACACAAACACTAAACTAAAGTTTATTACAGCACCAGAATTCCAAAATAAATGGTTGCTCATAACCAGGTATCATATCATCTAATATGATCAAAACAAAGCGCATTCAATTCATTTAAGAAATAATTTAATACTAAGACCCACAGACATTACCTTAACAAGGCAACTACTTATAACAGGTTGTAGCACAGCCAACAGATGATCACCTAGACTAGTGATGCAAATTCGTCCAAAAAATGAAATGGAACCTTAGACAAATTGACAATTTTATTAATACGATCCATCAAAGAGGTAGGTGTGAGCACTAGGAAGCCGTTTTCATGTTATGTTGTGGGATCAATCTAGGGGCTTCAAGGAGCTAATCATCTAGGGGGAATAAGACGGTAATGCTAGTGACTAGAAGGCACCAAGGGGATGCTAGATGGGAAAAACATTACAGCACTTTAACAAACATAAAACAGGTGTCACCATTTTATCAGCCAAAGCCAAAAGTGAAAATATCTATAAATAGCCCCTCTACTGATGCCTTGAGGCAAACACATCTTATCTTTCACTAATTTTGACATATATGGAGGCCTCTCTGTCTCTCCAACTCTCCTTTTCTAGCAGTAACATGTACAAAGGCAGAACCGGGGGTGGAAAAGGGATTGTGACCCACTTAAAGCTCTCAAAAGTCTTGCTAAATATTTCATTGTTTGCTCCTGAATATCTTAGATTGTAAAGAGTTGACATCTAGAAAACAGAATACCAAAATGGCCAATATAAAAGATTGAACTCAGCATTCAAAACTAGCACAAAAAATCATAAACCCACTAAAAATAAATCTAGAGTTTAAAAGGATTTATGTCAATTAAACCAAACAAAATTAATCATAAACCCATCAAAATTAACAAGAAACCATCAAAAATACCAAAATACTCTCACCCATATTAGTTTTAAATCCATTAAAAAAAACAAAAACAAAAGGATACAAATATAAAGCAAAAATTTGTTTATAGAAACAGATTGTTTAAAATAATTTTTTTTTAAAAAACAGAAATTGTTTCACCAATTTTAAACAGAAATTTCAACATAAACTATGCTATAAATCAAGAAATCTGAAGCAATTAACAGAAGCAATCAAGTGATTTTTTTATTTTATTTTTTTAGAAAAAAAAGGAAATTTCAACAAATCTCAAGCAATCTAAAGCAAATAAATATGAAGAAAATTGGAGGGAATAAATACCTGGGGAAGGATGGAAAGAGAGAGAGGAGATTGTTTGTGAAAACAAGGGGAGAGTCTCTCATCCATTTCCATCATCGTTCTTCTTCTACCATGGCCTCCTTTGTAACCCTAAACACACCGTCTTCCAATCTTCACTCTCTCCCT